CTGTGAACACGTCTTTCTTCGTGAAGACGCGTCTCGAGGTTCGCTCCAACCTGCTTACTCTGGGCCGCATAAGGTTCTCGCCAGGGGGGATAAAGTTTTTAAGATCCTCCTTAAAAATAAAGAAGCCACAGTGTCGATAAACCGTCTCAAACCGGTTTACACACTGTCCGTTAAAGATGATCCTCCAGAACCACAGGTACAACCAGGTTTTGTTACTCGTTCTGGTCGTCAGGTAAGGTTCCCGGACTATTATCGCCCTTGATGGTCTCTGGAGGGGGGCGGTGTAGGGATTCCCCCTACTTTCATTTGAGTTTTACTACGTATTACACATAATACACCAAACATTAACACATAGATTATATATTATTATTTGTTTACTATATTTACACTTATTCTACACCTAAAATATTATTTACAAATATATACATCATTAATACACACGTTTTTAATATAAGTACATCATAAATAAATATTACATTTCACAGCGATACATATCGGTTTGTCGATAAATTCTATCGACACATCCCTTTCACTATGCTATCTAAATGTATAGCTAGATGAGATACGCGCCGGCAACCGCTGCGCGTGCGCCGTCTCGAACAGTCTGAATTCCTTACCGTTGTAGACCGCACGCTTGCTTACCTAAGCCCTTCGTACCGCCTAAATATTGTGAAAGTAGTGCTTATATATTATTTATTTACTGCTTAAATATCTAGTGATCTCTTGTGCCATTCTTGAACTAGCTATCTTCCTAAATAAACTGCTAATTGTTCTGTGCTTGTGCCTGTATCTTCTACCTACTGTACCTTCTGTTTATTTCTCGTGTGCTGGACAAATACATTGTGATAACAGTGAGTTGAACTTTTTTATTTACTCCTCCATACACGAGACAGGTAGTTACTACCATAGTACCTACAGAATAAAAGGCGTCTTTATATATTAAAAATTCTTTTTTTTTTAACTGAATACAGTTTCCTCATTTCGTATACATTTGAGCAATTTTAATTGATTTTAATTTGGTGCCATGACAAATATGCTTTTGTGATACAGGGCAGTTTTAGCTTAAACCATATACAGCTTACTAGCTCTGCGGTTTCTAGACACCTTTGAAAATTTTGACTAGTTTTGTCTAACAAATACCGCGCTTGCAAAAATATAAATGGATGGCTTTGTAAGTACTTTTAATTTTATGAAGTGTGGGTCTATACCCATATATATCAATATGGGTGCGGTGCGGTTTTGTTAGCGTGTATTTTAAAAGTATGTTAACAAATTTTCACAAAAGCAACACAACAATCATCACTAAAAATAGTACCCTTAAATATTTTTTGCTAAAAAGGCCTATCTAACATTCTGCCATCATCAACAGCCTTTGATAGTCCACTGCTTTACATAGGATCTCCTTAGGAAGGAGGTTTTGGCCTTTGCCATGTCGTAACAAATAACACGAAATACCTCCAAACAACATGTGCCTTTTGGTTGAAAGAAACATAAAACTTGGAACTAGGATTCCTTTTTTAATTTTATCCCTCCCCCCCCCCCCCCTCATAGTTACCTTATCGAAGATTTCCTTCAACCACAAAGTATGTACAGTAATAGAGTCAGTGCACAAATGTTCGTAACTCCTCATATCAACTCTGACCCATGTCCTGTGCAGTTTACGCACTTAGTAACTGTGTTAGTTAGAAAACCAATTGATTGGACTCCGGCAAACAAATAAGTAATGTTACTTATTCAATTAAAGATTAATATCGTTGACAAATTTATATATTGTAGTTCGAAAATATTAAGACACATTATATATGTGTGCGAAGCGGTTAAAGATATTTATAATATAATAACTTTACTTTTACCAATATCTATCAATCAAATATTCTTACAACAGTTGAGGTCTAGAACCCCAAGCATTTCTATGATAAAATGATTTTTCTTTGTAAACTTATAGAAAATTATTTTCTACTTTTAAGTTTGGCTAGTTACAAAAGCGTGTTTTGTAGTTTAAAAAAAATATCTAAATCTGTATATTAATTTGGTATAAATGAAATAAATAAATAAGTGGTCGTATCTTTTCACTTAATTGGCTTAGAGGACAACAGTGACAGAGAGACAGTGTAACAACACAGACAGACTACAAAGTGATCGTTTGAGGTTTTCTTTTTTTAAAGGTTGAAAATTTATACCCTACTAGCTTTTACTTCGGTTTTACTAACGCTGATGTAGAATTTAACAATTTTAAAATATGACATTGTGTTTGACATGGCATTATGATTAATTAAACTTTAAATGTTACTAAAAAGCTCTTACAACATTTTTGATAATAACGAAAGTATGGGTATAATGTCCTGAATTTTAGAAAACATAAATACAAAATTGTTTAAATTGACATTGGATATTCTTATTTGCATTCATAATAAAAATATTAAGTTTAGCTACACATAATGCTTATAAAATTTGATCACAACCTTCTGTAATAGCCTGTATGAAATAAAAAAATAATAAAATCCTAAAAAGTTCTAAAAGCTTCTTAAAAAGTATAAAAACAAATGTAAGCTTTTTAATATAAAATACACATAGGTCTAATATAAGCAACATGTTTTAACCCGATATTCCAATACCATTACCGAACCGTAAAAATATTTGACTTTTTTTGTTTGCTCGAGGCAAAAGAAACGTAGATATAAAATTTGGTTAAGATTAATAAATAACCGGTCCTTGCTATGACTCGCCATAAAATATTCACTAGAAATAAAACCAATTTTATAGAACACTTCGTTTTTAGTGTTCAAATATATATTTTTATGGGGTGTTCAGTTTAACTGTCGCGGTCACTGTCCTGGTTGCAGATATACATGTTTTATGGTACTTAGGTAGAGGTATTTTATCAGTCTTATTTTTCATAGTTTATAATGAGACTTAGCTGGTATTTTTATTTAAAAAAAAAAACAAGACTAATTACAGCTATTTTCAGAATGCTTTCATTTAATCCAAAAAATCCAACACAAAAGACGCTAAATAGTGAAAGTTCATGATCCGGTTCACATTAAAGTTTGCACTTTAAATGAAAATTGTTCGTTTAATAAACTTTTAAATACATAGTAAAAACTCTAATACATATTTAATTTTTCTAAATAGTATTAAAAGTACTGTAATATTTTCTTTGTTTAATGAATATAACTTTAGATCATAAGACTTATACCAATGTATGCAACTGTATTGTTGTTATGTTTGTATTGTACACTAAAGAGTTATCTATCTAATGTAACAAAGAAAATTATAACTATTTAAAATAGAGTATTATACCTAGTAGATAAATAAAATAATTAACTTGAAGTATTATTATTCCATTTCCATTCCATTCAATTTCATATATACATTATTCCTCTAAACTAAACATACACAGTCAAAATATCCTCATATCTTCAACATACAAGTGATCAGAACAAAAGGATCTCTTACGTATACTAGTAAAATAGCGAGCTCGCGCTAACCATAGGTACATTTTTCAGTGAAAAGTAGCGTGATAACTAAAGGTAAATACTAATTCTCAGGAAGTTGCCATACATAGTACCGTAATAATATATATAATTCTTAGAAAATCTAGACACTGATAGGAATCATAAATATTTTAATATACATCAACACTATATATGGTCAAACATTCAGGTTTCCTATAAGTATGAACTTTCATGATGTGTCGGTAATATTATAGCAGCATTCTGTATAATATTACACAATGCTATCGACAGGTAAAGTATAGTATTTGGGTTGTTATACATATTATAAATACTTCCCAAATCGGGACTCGCAATTTTTTTTTGGTTTTGGCCGAAATTCAGTTTCCAAAACCCATAATTAAATGGTCCTATATTATATATATATATATATATACTTATACATTTTTGTGTTTTATAACTGAGACTATACCTCGACGATTGACTACGTAATTGAAATGAAAACTTTATTTTGTTATTATTTAATTACAAATGTATTTTATTATGTATTTCCGATTTTTTCTTACAGAAGTACTTGTAGTACAAGACGATGTTACCTGATTCTCTCTTGCGTATGCATTTTTTGTGGCATAAACATTGATTATTTTACAGCTTTGAGGAACCGTGGTCCTCAGTACGAGTATATGATTTTACAACCAACCAACTCGATGCCTCCATGCGTTCCTGAGATAAAGGGTCTTGACAGACGGACACAAAGGGAGGATCCTCTGACCTGGCGGGCCGCGGCTCAATGGTTGATGTTGGGAAGTTGCAATTATGCTAATCGGCGAGAGAATTCTTCATATCGCGATACAGGATTAGCAGTTACTCCGTAGTTCAGTGTGTCTTCGTTAGATGGCGATATAGTATATAGTAGAAGTCGCTACAAAAGTGTTCCGTTCCGTTGTGTAGGATATAAGGGTTCCGTTTTTTCTATTTAAGGCACGGAACCCGGAAAATGTTGATATGTGATTTCTGTTTTCTTGTGTTATATTAGATTTGAAGCGTTCAGTCGTTCCGACTGAAGTGTCAATTTAGATGAGGGGTACTAGTCGCGAAAGTTTACAACAAGTATTGTCTGTACTACTTTATATATATATTACTATAATTCAAAGTTAGTATTTTTAATAGAATGTTACAAATCACTTCTCAAATATAATTTTAAGGCCTGTTATTTCATAAATGACGATGACTGATGACCACCGCCGCGCATTAACGTCTACAACTCAGGAGTCAAAAACGGGATGTTTATCCGATTTATAAATCGGTTTCAAAGTACATGTTAATAATTTTTAAATAATAATAATCATTTTAATACTATTTCTTTACTCAAACAATTTATTTTGTCAACAGGTATCTTAAGAACCCATTCAGTGAAGAATAGTGGTGCCGCGAAACTAAAAAGATCTAACCAGTACAATGTTTGGTGCGCCTATGGTAACAGACTATGTATGTGACAGTGATTTGTGATCAGTGGTTAGCACATAATGTGAACTGATAAAAGACAAAATGTGGGCAGCACACCTCAGCTGTATTTTTGTTTTGTTTGGTAAGTAAACTACGAGTATATGTACTCAATATTAACTATATTAGATCTTAATTCAATAAATATAGGTAGATAGCTGCTTGTTACTTAACTTGGGCCTAAATAATTTATTAATTAAACAACATCGTATCCAATGGATATGACCTTTTGCAGGATCTGTAACTATAACAAACAAAATGAGGAAGTTTCAATTAAGGAAAGCATTAAAAGTGTAGCACATAAGTGTAGTACATATTGTGTAATATAAAGATTTTGTAAAAGTTTTGAGTCAGCAACTAGTTACTCAGCCGCTTGTCCAACGCCTGACGTTACACCTAACCCCAATTGATGTTAAAATATACTAAGCCTCACTTATTTACTAGGAAACGATATATCTCAGCTTCCTGTTAAAACTTACTGTGATAGCCTCGTATATACACTAGCGGAACACAAAAATTTGCACCACCGTACTTAAAGTTTAATTTAAAAAAAACTGAAGTAAACAAAATGCATTTTTCTTATATTTCGTTTTGACAGAAAAACAGTTTAAAATCTAAGATATTGTGACGGTTTACAATTAATTAAATGCATTTTTAATATTGAGTGTTCCGACAACCCCCCCCCCCCCTGTGATCTGATTATGGTTTCCATCCGTCTAGGCATGCTGCGGATGATGGTGTCTGAATGAATGAATGATTTCTCGGGGCAACCTCTGCCATTCTTCAAGTAATGCGTCTCGCAACTCGCCCAGATTGTTTGAAGGTGGTATTCTTGATTTGACAGTCCTCTTTAGCAAGTCCCAAACGTATTCAATTGGATTCATATCCGGGGACCAAACTGGCCACTCGATCACCGTTACACCAACATGGTCTAGGTTTTTCTTTTTTTTTTTTGTTTATTCACGATAATAATAGAAATTTACAAGTACCTCTTTATTACTGCCAAACTACAAAGCAGTTTGTTGGTAGTTGTAGCTCCCATAACATCATATCAATTTAACTTTATTTGTTAATTACACTTTTTCCACAATATTTATAATAATTAATTACAATTAAAGATTCAAATGTTTAAATGACAATAATGATCAACAAAATAATAATAACAATTCAATGATAATAATAACAATAATTAAACAATCATACATGCGACACAGATTGACACATGATTACTAAATTTTTACTAAATTTACAAATATTTTTATACAAGCGCCTTGCACCTTAGATGGTGTATCGACAATCTATGTATTTGTTCAGTATACCTACACGACTACATATATCTAAAGTTTTCGCTGACTACACTTATGCCTACATTGCCACTACACTATATATACACAGGTATGCCTGTACTGAGCGAGCTCTGTGAGCCCGAGCATTATCCTGCATTAGAATGAAGTCGTTACCAATAAAGGGGCAAATGGCACAACATGTTCTTCTAAAATCTCCTCTCAGATTCCCGCCATCGACTATCATCAACTCCGTGCGAGCTCCTAAACATTTCCCTTCCCAGACCATAATTGAGCCGCCGCCATATGCCACTGTATTTTCAAAATTAGACTGGATATAACGCTCTGCTTTGCGTTTCCATACTTGCTGCCTTCCATCAATCTGATTTAACAGAATTCTGCATTCATCAGTGTTTCGCCAATTCTACCGACGTGTGTATAATATTCATAGAGTAATAAAATGCAAATAGCCCAAACGTAAAATCGATCCAGTCAAGAATTCCAATTAACACTTATTTTAATTATTATTGTATTTACTACGGAGTTAACACCTACGAAATACAATAAAAAAACTTTGAGATTTTACATTATACAAACTTTTGTATAAGCAGTAACCTAACAACTCAAAGTTTTATCTTTATTTAAAAATAAAAGTCTATAAAAACCTTTAAGTCGGTAGATATTTTTTAAAACAAAACAATACCATTAGCACAACATGGGTGTGTATAATACAGTTATAAAAGTGTATTGTTTACCTTTAGATTAACAATAAAAAGAACAGTCATGACCTAATCGCAATTTGGTTTCAAATACAAACAAACAAAACCCCTTTTATCTCAACTGAAATTTCTTTTCCAACATGCCGACTACATAATGAAATATTTACAAAATACCCTGCTTAATGCTCAAAAATGGAGAAATAAAAAATAACGGGACGTGACGTTGAACAAAGTACGTTTTTATCGCTGGAAGGGATCGCACTAATGGATGCTGAAACCTAACGGTTTCGGCCAAAATCGCTATTTCGGGAATTATCGCAAATATATAAATTCTACCTATCTGCTCCATTATTAATTAATGACAGCGCAAAAAAAAAAGAATTTTAATGAATTGCTTTGTTTAATAAGCATTCATATTTGTGATTTGCCTTTTAGGCTTTAAACATGTACTTGTTGGCTGTTTAATTTTTACCCAACATACTATTAAGAAAACCACTTTAGACAGACAGTGATGAGCAGTCAAAATGACACAGTTAGCTCAAACATCTCTTTTGATTTGTTTTATAATGAACTAGATTATTTAAAAACATTCTTAATACTAGGTTAATTGACTTTCTAAGATCATGTTATATTGGATCTGAAAGACATGCACGTGTCATAAACTTCTCGCTGTTTATTCTTTGCTATAAAATATTTACGATCTTAAAGGAATATGGCAAAATGGTTGGTAATATTCAGTCTGGAACGGAACGTTGTTAAAATGAACATCGATTAGGAAGGGCGATGTCACTTACGTTTTACGGGTCATGATAATTATGCCACTACATTCTTTTAACCTAATTGATTCATAATTGCTATAGATACTCGTACATATGTCATGAAGAGTAGACCTTAAAAAATGTATGTCTTATTCTGTTAAATAGATAAATCACTGGGAGTAAAAAAAATTAAAATATATTGATGACAGAAACTCAGGGCACATTGAAATCATGCTTTTATATTTTCGGTGTGTTTTAAACAGAAATGTTATTTATTATTTTCGTTATTATATTTAATCAAATGTCATCATCATCATCATCAGCCTATCGCAGTCCACTGCTGGACATAGGCCTCTCCCATTGCAAATGTAATCAAGTACATTTGGAATATTTTTACTTATGACCACTTTTCTTATACCTTCCTACTTCCTTTCCAATATAATTATAATTTGTCGTTGCACACTTGGCCAAGTGATGATGATGAGATGGATGGATGGTATTTTCTTTACTTTTCTTTTATACCTTAATTCTCTTTGGACTTGACTGAATTCATAGGTTCACTATGAATTGAGTATTTTTTTAAATTCGTGCGTAGAATTCGTTGTCTACCAGAGGTATCTATTATTCGATGTGGTGAAACCTCTGGCTAAAACTTAGAAGAAAATCAACTAAGTAGCATTTATTTAGCACTGTAGACCGCACTATAAACCATAAACTTTCAAGCCACTACTGCATAGCATTTGTTAACTACAAACCGTCATAATCTTTTTAAAGTTCTATATCTTATATATATGTATATATATTATATATGTATATATATATATATATATGTTAAACGTTTTATATCCCAATGATAGAGTAAGCCTTAGAGGTACAAAAGACTGCACTTTTTTGTATTCTTCTTGTTTAATTTCAGTTCATTTGTTTTGATAACCCTTGAATGATCACCCTTGAATCATCTTAACAAATGCCATAAAAATACCAGTTATATTTAAAGAAGTCATTGGACTTGGAGAATTGAATTCATTTCTCCTCGGACTCCAATCAGAATACGAAAAAAAAACCAACAAGGTATCGGGTGAGAATCACTCGACAAATACTTTGATTTATTTATTTCCTACGTTTCAGGTTCTACTTACCGATTAAGTACCGCACCGTCTACTTGCTCACTTCTAGTTTAATGTTAAGATCTAATCAGATTCGTGAGGTTTTGGATGATGAAAGCCGGTTGGCTCTTGATTTTGAATAGCGAATCAAAAAGTCCTTAAAACTGTGAATGATAATAATAATAATAATAATAATAATAATTTCATAAACGAAATTTAGCGCTTGTGGGTGCCCTGGATTCGTTATTGCCTGATTATTTAGACAATAGCGAAGATCTTGGTGATACACATTCTATTCTGTATTGTGCGGCTGTTGCAGTTTGTCGAGTAGCTGGTGTTAATATAGTTGAGAATGTCACTACTACTCGACCTAAATCAACTGTACCAGCTTGGCAGTGTAGAATTGAACGTCGTATTGCTGAGACCAGGGTGCTTATTGGTAAGCTAATTAGTTTTCGATCAGGGAATACGCGGCCGAGAGTGATGCGCTTTGTGAAACAGGCATTCTTGGGGACTACCATTGGTCCTCAACAGTACATGTCATGTGTCACAGAGCGCATAGACTTTCTAAAGCAGAAAATTTATGCATGGGCAAATAGGTTAAGACGGTACAAAAAACGAATAGATCGGTATAATCAGAATCGGATGTTCCAAAGAAATGAGAAGTGGGTGTACCGCAAATGGGAGGAACCGGAGCCATGTGTGAGTCATGGGCATTTGCCAGATGAAAATGTCACACATACTTTTTGGCGGAACATCTGGTCGGTGCCTGTCACTCATATAGAAGGTGATTGGTTGCGGGATGTCAGACGCTCATGTGAGTCTATAACACCTATGGAACCAGTTATAATTGATAAAGATGATGTAAGCTGTGCAGTTCGTTCATTACCAAATTGGAAATCACCTGGTTTAGACGGACTGCACAACTTTTGGCTTAAGTGGTTCCGAAGCTCACATGCGTGTTTGGCATCTCAATTCCAGGCAGCTTTGGATTCGGGTTCATTACCCCAATTTTTAACCACTGGTATAACCCACTTACTCTATAAGTCTGGTAGTGTCATGGATCCCAAAAATTTTAGACCTATTACATGTTTACCAACCATGTACAAACTTCTTACATCTATTCTGAGACTCAAAATTACTTTACACATTAATAATAATTCGATTATGTCAGTTTCTCAGAATGGATGTAGAAGTGGGAGCCGTGGCACTAAAGACC